GGGGGTGTGGATGAAATATTTATTTTATCGAGAATGCCTTCTAAGATGCTGTGTCCCTTTCAGCCTGGGTTGGCAAGCAGGTCGATGGCCGCTTGCTTAAAATTATCTAAATTGTGTCGACGGGGCTTAAACACTAACATAATATACAAAAGAACAACAACAAAACAAACAAAAACAACCAAACAAAATGTTTCAATGGCGCTAGTAACGACTTCTTCTACAACATACTCGAAGTACATTTCAGGACGCTGTTTTTCGAAAGTGAACCATGATCGTAGTGTGCATTCTTTGGTGTAGTTACATATAGAAAGTCCGGCAGAGACACTGTTCAATATTCTCTACCTGTGTTAACCTATACCCTTGTGTTCTGTTCTCAGAGCATTTCAAGGAAGGCGTGACCATCAAGGAGGCAGCACTATAATAACTTATATACAATAATATATTATATATTATGCAGGGGGTGCAAACGTTGGTATACAGAAATTAACGCATCATTGTTATGATAATTAATTCATCAAGGTCATTTGAGGGATGCGTGGAGAATACCAACGCCAAGAAATTAGGTATCTGTGGAATGAAAGTTGCGCTTGTATATAATAAAATATTTTTTCATTTGATTGTATATAATAAATGCAATAAGCAAATGTACGGCACTCATTTTTTTTTTCATAACCATATTATACATGAACCTATTTTTGGGTATCCTCTGTACTATATACACGTTATACGGGTAAGGCTTTTTACTCCGTGGCGCTCATAAAACTTCAGTTCTATTCTCGCTTTGGGGAAGTTATTTTAACAAACATTTCCGTCTTTCTGGTGAATGCTGTTTCCAATCAGCCCGTCTCCTAAATGGTGGAAATTTTGTCGATGGGTGTAACCTTGTTTGTGCATAACCATGCACAGGGTGATTAAAAAAACAACTGTACAACTTCCTTTGTTAATATTTTCCTCCACACTGAAGTTTTGCGTTTCAAATTTGTACCCAATATTTGGAAGTCAAAAGGAATTTGTCTGACACGGTATTCATTTTAGATAAATCCACAGAATAGTTTTGCTCTATATAGCTCGTAAAAAATCAACCCATTTTCAGCAAAGTCCCAATTTTTGTAGCATGACGTACTAGTTCCCTCCCATTAGGTCTACCACTAAACCACTATAAAATACCAACGATTGCGCCTTTTGAATGAATTATATAAATTCCAAATTACAATATTCTAGTACAAATTTTGTTCGAGATATTTAGAAAAAAAAGTTGTAGTTGTTTTTTCTGATCACCCTGTACATAACAATATTATTATATCGTATACGTGTGTGAGGGAGTGAGTGAGTGAGTGAGTGAGTGAGTGAGTGAGTGTGTGTGTGTGTGTGTGTGTGTGTGTTTGTGTGTGTGAGTGTGAGTGAGAGAGAGAGAGAGAGTGTGTGTGTG